GCCCATTTTGTCACTCTTAGTGCACGGTAGCTCTAGCAACAGTATTTTTGAGGAGAAACATTTTGGCCGAAGCAGTGCTGCCACCCCCATGAATGGCATTTGTGTCTATGTTTGACTTGAGCTCTTTAAAGCCCATCTGTCAGTTTTCATAACTTTCTGAATTTTTCTCTAATTTCCTAACATTTCAATCTATTTCTAGAACGAAGATCCTAAAAATAACACCGTCTGTTTTCTGCTTTCTCTGTGTCTCAACCATATGGACTTTTCTGTTGTCATTATCTCTAATAAGCAAACTTATACTTTTTATATCTACCTTGGGCTTAAAGAAGCTCATTGTCCTTCCAATGAGTGAGTGAGAAAAGATCAGTTTGAGTAGTGCTATTTTCTGTTCTCATCAGTTTGTTTTGTTGTTGTTATTATTGTTAATTCTCACGTGAGGCTATTTTTTTCCATTGATTTTTAGAGAGGATGGAAGGGACGGGAGGGAGGGAGAGAGAAACATCGATGTAAGAAAGACTTATCAATTGGTTGCCTACCGCACACGCCCCACCAGGGCTGGGGATCAACTCGCAGCCCAGGGATGTGCTCCCTCTCTCTGCGGTCACTGCTGTGAGTGGAGGCTGCAGTCACAGGCAAGGGCCCTGGGTTGGTTTGTGTCCAGCAAGAAGGGGCAGCCTCCTCCAAGCGGCTTTGTCCACTTGAGTATGGTGTTCATGCTTGGGAAATTTAGAGAAGGCCAGGCAAGAAGGACTTCGTGGGTTAAAAAAAAAAAAAAAATGCAACTTGCAATATAGACTCTTTCAAGCAATTCCTTTTTCCCCTTGATTAAAAAAAATGGAAGTGATCCAAGGTAAAAGTTATCCCAAGATAGAAATTTAAAACTACTATATGGGCAGTCAACAAGCACGTAGCCTGAATAAGTAAAAAGAAATTCAATGAAGTAATTGTTATTTGCACGAATTTATAAAGTCAGCAATTTAAAGCCATGTGCTCAAGTTTAAGTTGCAGGTTGACTCTTATACCCAGGTATATTTAAGTCAGTTTATCTTCCTTTGGAGTTTAGCTCCCAATCTTGCTTAAAATTTGAAATTCTTTGTATTCTAGAATTCTAGATATTGGCTGCAAGCAGTGAATGTGAGAAGACCTGGGTTCTAGCCCCAATTGCACCACTAACCATGATTCTGGAAACTTACTTGAACTCAGAGCTTCCATTTAATGATTAGTCACATGGACACCATAGGACACGCCCCCCAGCTCAGCAGGGGACTGCAGTGTGAAGGAGGCCTGCTTGTGGCCAAGCTCATGTGAAAGGGGGTGGGAGGAACAGGCTGCTCACATTTATCGAGTTTCTTTTGTGTGCTGGAAGCTGGGTCGATGCTTCATATGATTCCACTTAATCCTTCTGGCAGCCCCAAGAGCAGATGTCAATGTCCCCATTTTTACACATAAGACAACCAAGGTGCGGGGGGGGGGGGGGGGACGGGCAGGGGCGGGGTAAGGGGGTAGGTGAACTGGGGTTCCCCTAGCTGTTGAGGGAGAGGGCTGGAATTCAGACCTAGACCCATCTTCCTCCAAAAAGTAAGCTCCCTCCTGTCATCTGCTGCTGCCATTTCTAAAAATTAAAACAAGTTATAATCAGAATAAAGCAGGGGGGGAAGGGGGAGGTTTTGAACTTGGATCCTCAGGCTCTTGCAACCCAGCAGAGTGTGTTTGAGGGTCTCAGGAAGTCCTCTTGAAGTTTTGATGAAATGTAACCAGTGAAGACCAATGGCCTCTTTAGTCAAGTAGAGGAAGATCTATAATAAATAAAAATTCCTATGTGAAAATATAGACAGAATGGGTCACCAAAGAAACCCAAAAGTAACCACAAATCAAGATGGTTTTCTAGTTAGTAAATTGAATGGTCTCTGAATTGTGTAATTAAGGGGAAAAATTGCTGTTTAAAAAAGTACTTTGTGTGGTTTTTAGTGAGATAGTAAATTCAAGACCAAATTCAGCTTTCACATTTGTTAGTGGTCTTTTTAAGAGAATAAAGGGCAGTGGTTCGTATTGAAACGGGAATTGGATTGGAGACCAGGTGCCCCTTTAGCCACCTGCTTTCAGTCAGAGGTCACTGGCCGCGTGCACTGCCCACTGCCCAGCACGCTTTCAGCATGCAGTGCACATCTTAGCACGTCTTACATTTTTTAAAGCTTCTAAAAGAAATGATTTGGGGCGCCCATGAGCTGCGTAGCTGTCTCTGAATGCTGCCAGACTTGGGATGGTGTTTGTTTTCTTTTTGTCATGGTGTTTACATGACCTGGCTTGGACCACGAGTGAAAATGCATTTGCTGATTTCCTGGCCTCACCCATTCTCTAATGGATGTCTGTCTGGACGACAACACCCACTTGAGCACTAAGGCTCCTACACCAGCACAGGACCAGCCTGGGGGGAAGGGGGGGTCTGTGACTGTTGGGCAAAAATACGGAGATCAGGAACCTTCTATGAAGTCTGAATTCTCCAGTTATCCAGTTCTAGAAGCACCCTTTGTGCTCTCTGTCTCCCACAGAGCCTTATGTTAGGGTTCACACCACAGCTGTTCCTCGAGTCAGAGAATCTCACAACCTGGTTGCTACCCTCCGGAACTCTAGCACTGGGCCTGCTCTCAGCCTGACTGGCACTCGCTAGGACAGTCGGGGGCTGTCATGCAGGATGAGGATGGGCTTCTATGGGATTGCACACAGCATCCCTGTATAGGCTTGACTGTGAGCCTGATTTACATAGCAGACACGCTCCCAGATAGCATATTTAGCAAGATGCATTCACATTTCTGTTTTGTTCACCATTGTCCCGAGCGCTGTATGTGGATGTGTCGGACGCAGTGGGGCCTTTCAGGAAACAGCAGGACGATTCCAGGCCGAGCATGACAGGTCTTTAGAGGGACGCACCTGCTCTAACCCAGGCCCACGAGCAAACGGGGGGCTGAAAAGAGGCTCCATGAATTGAGTGTTGACAGCGGGCCATGGCTGTCCGAAGGCTCAGGTGGTTGTCAGACATAAGTTTAGCTTAGCTCTTTGAGTAATTTGTCACGCCTCACTCGGCCCCTGCTGGGCCAGCACGTGCCAGCTTAGTGTCAGAGTGCCTGTTCACCAGACGGCCACTCAGGCCTAACGTCCTGCTGTTCCCCAGACCAGCGGCTTGCTGGGGCCATGCACAGAGGGCCAAGCCGCGGTGACAGCCAAGTACTGTGCAGAATAAGCGTGTTCATAATGAGACGTGAATGGCATTAGTGGGTCCCTCTGGAATGGGGCCTGAGCGGGCGCCTCTCGCCGAGGAAGTTTGGCAGCCTGTTCGTTAGTTAAGGTGAGTCGCCGGGAGCTCTGCCTGCAGCCGAGGAGCCGGTGCAGCTCACGCTTGCAGGCCCAGGGCTGTGTGACCCCCTATGGGAAAGATCATAAATCATCAGAGGGGCCACTTTTGAAACCTTGAAACTCAGTTCCCTTTTTAAAAGCTGCTTAGAGGCAGCCTAAAGGCAAATTCTGGAATAGTGCTGCCCAGTCGTGCTTTCCACGGCGGCAGGTGCGTCTGTGTGTGCCTCCAGCACGGGGACCCCGAGCCACAGCCAGGGAGACGAGAGGAACTGGATCTCTGTTCTTTACTGTAGTTAATTTAAACTTAAATTTAGATAGCCACGTGTGACCCATGGCCGCTGTACTGACAGCACAGCCCGGACTGCCTCTGGTTTCGTGGTGCAGAACGCTCTCTGAATACAGTTCAAGGAGAAGGGGGAGGGAGAGCCTGCACCGAGAAAACAGAAAAATATTTTCCTGTTTTAAGACACGTGCTCTATCGAAAGCTAATTGGAAGGGCATAATTGTCACCAAGTTATGTTTTTAAGAGGCCATTTTGACAACACAGTGAGAGATGCTAGGATTGCTTCTGTCGCTACAGATCATAAACTGATGGTGATCCACATTCCCGGTGCTCCTGGAAAATTAGCATGATTTTCACAATGACCAAAACGCATCTTTTAACTTCGGTGTTGACGATGAGGAAGGGGAAAATGAGACATCATGCCGCCTTCCCCAAGTGTTAATTCATAAAGTCATACGTGTGGTGCCTCCATCGCCGTCGAATTGTTCTGGCGTTATCCTGTTATTGGAAGTGCAGCATTCACCTTCCCAGGAAGCAGAAGCTGCACACAAAAGGGGAAGATTTGCTTTCTGCCCCGTGAAAGGCGGCCACACGCAGGGGTCCTGTTAAGACAGCTGGAAAGTTGCTTCAGTGTGTTACGCTTGTAAGTTTTATTGGTGGCTGGTTTTTGATTACACATTTGAATGCGTGTGTTCCAGACTGCAGTTTTAATTAAAAGGCAGTCTTTTTTTTAAGTATTGCCCTGTGCACTCTCTGCTTGATCCTCCAACGTATTTGTTCTTATTTCCGAATGCTCACAGCCTAGCTCGGCTTTCGGCTCAGGTGCCCCCTCAGAGCATGCCTCCTCGGCCTTCCCTCTTCCCAGGGACATGATTAGCTTATTTCTTAGGAGTGTGTGCCACCACCTTCTCACTGATCCTTGCTTGAAGTAGCAAATCATTTTGTCAGTAGGCTGAAGAGAACATTTTATCCGGGAACTAACAAGAGAAGATCCAGATCTGTCCCCCAGCTGTCAGTGGAAAGAGATGCTGTCATAGTCCGTGTCTCTGTTTTTGTTCGTTTGACTCAATCTTAATGGTCTTTTGATGTGATTCTGTAACTATGGGTTACATACTTTTTATTGATACTAGTGTTGGATGCAATTGAAATCCAAAAGAAACTTAGGTCTCAAAATCAGAATTTTATCATTAAGACCAATCCTTAAATTTCTGACAGATGTTAACAAACTTGCAAGGTAATCTTCCCCCCCCCCCCCCCGCCCCCAAAACATAAAAGTTGCATCACTGTACGTAAAGCAGAGTGGACCCTGGCATTGTTATGTATGCCATTCTGCACATGCACTTGTTTCCTTAACCGATCACTGCAGCTACGAGGAGCGAGCCCTCTATCTCGAAGCCATAATTCAGAACCACCGCGAAGTAATGACATTTGAGGATTTCGCAGCCCAAGTCTTCTCTCCGTCTCCCAGCTACTCCCTCGGTGGAACGGGTGAGTGTCTGCATTATTCTTCCCTCGCGCGCTTAAGACAACTCGAGCAGCAGATGTACACCTGTTTTTCACAGATAAATGCTTGCGAATTTAAGAAGAGCATTCTCCCTCTGAATCAACTAATGAATATCAAAAGGAACGATGACATTCATTTTAATGTGTTTTGTATCCGAGCTGTTCACCCAGTTCTTTTCTTCCGCTATCCTGTTAACCTCCGAATCTAGCGAGGTTAATGAACTTTCCTCAGTGATGTGCTCGGTTCATTTGGGAGTGTGGGTTTCTTGCTGAGCTGGGAATAATGCTGTCTAAAAGCGATGCCCGCATCAGTGCTTACTTATCAAAAAAAGAGTTCCTCACAGTCGAAGCCATTGCTACTAATGCTAAATGGGGATTACGCTGCCGAGATACTCGAGATACCCGGGTCAGGGATTAATGCGGGAGGAATGGAAGGACGGTGTCCCCTGGTCCATCATGACGGCAGGGCCACGCCAGCCTTCCCTACAGCGGCCTGTGTCACATGGACCGGCCGCCGACCAGAGCAGCACCGGGTGTGGAACCTGTTTAGAAACTGGCTGACCGTCATGTTCATTTATTAGGCATATGGGAAATTTCAAACATTTCCATGAATGTTCTTGTTTTTAGGTTTCACTCTCTTATATGAACAATTCAGGGAAAATGGTGTACTGCCACCTAAAATGATTGTATGATTATTGTGGGTGGAGTTTTATTTTTTTTTTCAAAGAATAGAATTACTTACAAATTTCTGCATGTCATTGCAGATGACTTGCCTTTCAGAGAGTAATGGGATGCTTAGTCAATGCATGCTGAAATTCTCAGTGAAGGGCTTCCTTCTGCTAGTGTAGACACATTGTGAGGGCGCTTAATAGATTTCTAACCTGTGTCAGTTGCCTCTGACACCACCTTCCTTCTCCTGTTCTGACTTGTTAACAAATCTCTTACACACAAAGTGAAAAAAAATTAAATTCCGTGAAATAAATCACTTACAAATAAAATCAGCCATGCATCACTGTTTAACATCGCTGGCTTCAGTCCTCGCCTCTCCCAGCTTTGTTGGGAGATAAGAGGAGAGGCTTGCACTCGCCGGGGGAGCCAGGAGCAGCAGGCAGAAGGCCTGGGAGATAAGCAAGCTGGCCAAGGGAGCAGAGCCATGCGATTTACATAATCACGCCCCTGCTTCCTGGTGAGGCGTCGAGGAACACAGGGATGGCCTCTATTGATCGTTGTTGAACTGGAATACTAAGCAACATGAGAAAAGCTTATAACTTAAAGCTTTGATTAATGTTTCCTACATTAAAAAGGTAGAACAGCTGTGAATTGAATTCTTTTATACACTCTGCCAACGTTCCATCTAAAACCAAAAGGAAATCAGTTTCAAGGGAAATGAAGATTTCATACCCAGTTTAGGTAGAGGTTTAAAATTGTTTCTAATTCTTGGTGAAAGCCCATGAAAGATCTATAGCAAAGCTAATTTTTTAAAGATAATTATTCTGGTTTTTTCACCCTCACAATGATTTGGGGCTTAATTTTTCAGTGCTTTGAGAAACCTTTTTGTTTCTTAAAATTAAAGAGATTAAATAATAGATATTTGCACTCATCAGTTCAACTGTTACATTCTTAAGGCTCTTGACTATTGAAACAAATATTGATGAACTTTATTTTCTAGGTATATTTTAGCCTCTGTATAAATTTGATTTTTTTTCCCCAAAAGTTTAAGATTATTAAAACCAATTTAAATTAGTGTGTAGGTAACATCTTAAGTGAGACTGTAGGAGTCATTTGGGTTTTTTAAGACCTGCAGTTTAAAGACGATTACTGGCAAGCTTCTTCAAGAACATCGCGTTTGCCAAAGTCCCTTAACAGATAAAGGTTCTGACAGCTCAGAAGTGTGGGCATTGGAACCTGTACAAAAGGAACGTGAAACCAAAGATGGAATATCAAGACAAATCCTGCTCCTTTCTTTTTTCAAGTTATTTACACCAGTATCACATTTCATACTGTTTAGGGTTTAGGGAATTGGGTGTTGAGTGATAAAAATTTTTGTATGCATATCACACCAATCCATGAATGGGACTTGTGTCAGAGCATAATGCTCTCTCTCTTTTAATGCTTTGCCTATGTGCCCACCACAGTGATTAAGAAGGAACTAGAAATGAACTTGACCTGAACTGAAATTGGGGGCAGCGCAGTGAGGGTGGAGCACGCATAGGCGCACTCTCAGAGCCACCTCCTCGCCCCATGCCCGTGCCGGTTCTGCTTTCGAGGAATCCCTACCCCTGTCTGTTACCACTTTTACAGATGAAAACACTTCTCACTTATTCACAGTGTTTTTTATTATCTTGGGGCGAGTGTGATCAAACCCAGAGGAGCTGAGCAGCTTAAACTAAGAAACTGAGGGGCAGTCTGCTCTTCCAAGCAGCAAGCCAGTTGGAAAAATTGACCCCGAGCAGCTTAAGCTCCCACAGTGCCCATCCGACCCAACCCGGCCATCCTGGCCAGCAGGGTCACCAAAGCCAGGCCTTGGGCTACTGCTCACATGCATATGCACAGCCTGAGGAGCGAGGGGCTCTCGGGTTCTCTTTGTATCCTTGTCCAAGGGCTTTGTTGTGAACACAGAAGGAGAGTAACCTGAACGCTGTGTTCACTGCACACTGGCTTTGTAGCAGCAAGCAGCCCCTGTTTCTAGAGGGAGGGACTCTGATGTTGCTTTACATCCTCGCTGTAAGTAAGAGATGTGCCAAGTGGGAAGTGCCCTCTCCTCAGACTCGCCCTGCCCCAGTGCTGTCGCTTGTCACCCAAGGCGGCCATAGATGGTCACAGTGGCCAACTGTGTCCTCTATTCATGACTCACTGTCAACCACAGATGTGAGGCAGGGTCTTTTGTTGTTTGGCTAATAGGTGGGTGCTCAGCTTTTTTAAAAGAGGATTTTTACACACCTATTTTGCCAATGCAAAAAGGTTATTTTACAATACCACGTACCTCCTATCTATTCTGCCCACTCCTTGTTTCAATAATGCCCACTGTAGAACCGGGATTGGAGCTGCTTTCTTACCTAGCCCTGTAATTTGCATTCCTTTTGATTCCTTCCTTATTGACCAGCAATTTCTGAGTGGTAGCCAGTGTTAAACTATTGGCTGCAGTTAACACACACACGAGTGTGTGTTTGCATATATATGTCTACACGTGTGTGTATAGATATGTTCTATGTATGTACATATGTGCATTTCACACACACACACACACACACATTGGGGTAAGGGACTAAGTTTGTGTTTCCAAGCATGTTTCCAATGAAGGGGGCCAGCAAAGGAGCCGTTAAAGGGTTAACGGGCACGGGCGCCCTCGACTGCTGGGAGGGGCTGATGTAATCGCTGCCGCTCACAGCCAAGTGCATCTGTTCACCATGAGGTCATTCTTCTGCATGCTAATGATTTGGAAAATCAAGTCTAATGCTTGACATTATCAGAAAGGATATAAATAGTGTAAATCTTTACTTTTGGGAAGCTGCTCTTATAAAACAAAAGGAGAAAAGAGAAACTTTAGCTTGGACTTGAGGGGTTTTTTTTCAGGACTGCTTTAATGATTGTGTCTGGACCTTAAGATCTGGGAGGGATCCCCTTGTGTCTGTTGATAAATGATCCCCAAATTACTATTACAGTCACAGCTGACAATTTGGTAAATGTGAACTACAGGTATGTCTAATTTAACATCATATTTTAAGAATTTCCAAGTGCTTTGGTCAGAAGGTGATAAAGATGAATTTCTCTCAAAGAATGTCTAAAACCAAGAAAAATGAGTGGTTCCTCTCCCTATAAGAGAAGTGTTTGCTGAGGATGCCGGCACTGTTTGTGGTCCTTCCTGCTTTAATATTGCTATAGGGAGCCAGCAGAGGGAGCACAGATCGTTGTTTATTTGTTAGCCCTACATAAAACAACATATGATTTCTCCAAGATATGGTCAGAAACACTCCCTCCTTCATGACAGGCTAGAGACTGTGAAGGCTCCAGGATTTAGAACAAGTGGGAGAAAATGCCTCACTAGGCACCATCAGATTCTGCCACTTGTAATGTAGGTCGTATTTGGAGCTTAAAGCAGATTAGTCCGAGTTGGTCTCCGGATGCTGCTGCCTCTGCTGCTACTGTACAGAGCTTCACGTTTTCACCTTTCACGCTCAGGAATTGCACAGGTGCCCGCTTAGAAAGCTTTACCAACCTAACAGAAAAGACCTTAGTAATTTTTCTTTGCAACAAAATCATTATATTAAGTTCACAGAAACTATCAGAAGACCCTGGGTGCATTTCTTAGCAGCCTGTCTCCTAGAAGGAGAGGTGCAAGCCAGGGCCAGGACATACGAAAATGCTGGCCCCGTGCCCGCCCCGTGGGATAGTCCCAGAAATCAGAGCCACAGCTGCTGGTGTATTAATATCAGTTAAAGACTAGGACTGAATCTCAGAATTTCACTCGGATACTCCAGAAGTTACCTTTAAGTGCAAGTGCTCTTGTGACCCTGTCTGTTCAGGAGCTCCGGCTGCCACCCCGCACCCTCAGGTGTCCATGGCTAAGCAAGTGTAGCCACACGCCCTGCAAACCGACTGCTCTGAGTGTGCGGTCCTTCCACCCAATAATCCCTCCCAGACCCAGACCAGATCTTTCTTCACACCCTAACTGCCTCAATTCTGACCCCCTTTGCATATGACATTTAAAAAAACAACAACACTTAAAATGCATTCTTCTTAAAAATACACTGAAGCAGCCATAGGAATTTTTTAACCACCCACAGTCCCATTGCTGAGCCGCCTGGATCTGGCGACAGCTGCACATTGCTTCACCTGTGAAGCTGTAGGAATCTGGATGCTTTGTCCCCACACCAGGCATTGGGATTTCCTGGTCTGGGCTATGGTCTGGCCCTGGGGACCTTCTTTTAAAAACTCCTGAGAGCATTTTAATATGCAAGCAGGACGGAGAACCACTATCCTAAGTC